GAGCAGGGACAAAAATCCACTCTTTATATCTGCTTCCCCACACGCTAGCCACAAGACTTCTGTCAATCAATGATTTCTTAGTTTCTTGTAGTATGATGATGTCCGGCTGTAACCGTTGGAATTGCTTTTTCAATGTTAGCCTCTTCCGTGTACTTCCCAATCCTCTAACATTCCAACTAATTATCTTCATTAACACTACTAGTGCCCCTGTGAAGTTTGCTTTCTCCCTTAAAAGCACCCTCTCCCTTGCCTCTTCTGGCTTTCCCATTCTTCATTTCTTGGAATAGAGACCTTTTCAACGGAAACAAGGAAACCTTCATTTTAGACAAAAATTTGGAACTTAGATGTTGGGCCTCACGATTGGCCGATACTCCTGCCAATTTTTTCCTTCTACTGTACTTCAATATTTTCTTGTTTTTTCCTATTTCCTCAGTAACGGACTGCTCCTCATGATTGGTTGCCTCCTCCAACGTTGTCACTGCTTCCAAATTTGAATCAATGAAGAGGTTGTGGAGGTCCTCACAGGATACTTCAAAATCGTCAGATATTTCTTTTTCCTCTTGATAGTAAGCATCCACCTCCCCATCAGCAACAGAAGATTGAGCGGAGAAATCTTCGTCGTCACTGTCTAACAATTGAACCGAATCCATGCCAAAATCCTCCATCCTTCTCCACCATTGATCTGTTGAATTCTTCTCACTCGACCCGCCCGGTGATCGGACAATGTCCTCATCGGCCTCGCACTCCATATCTTCCTCTAATTCACTAACTGAGTCGGTGAATGTGAGGTTAGAAGACAAGGCTTCCGTCGTATTAGGCCTTTCTAAGTGATTCTGACAAGAGCCAAAATCATGTGGTAGAAGAAGCTTTAGCCGCTTTCCGCCCTTGTCGTGTTGTCCAAATCTCCCAAAGAAACTCGAACTTATGCTCCAGGAAGGTCTAATTGGAGCGCCTGCTGCATAGAACTCCATGGCCCGAAGTTGCTGGGGATCTCCCAAAGCCATATACTGTGGCGCGGTATTCCTTAGAGTTGGCAGCCTTAGATCCTCAAACGGGTTCGAAAACGTTAGAGACTTACACAGGAAGTCCATTTCGGATTGTTGATGAGATCTCAGCCCGTGAATAGTTAGGGTGAGTGGGCCACCGCCTGACCCATTCCAATGTAGATCGACGCCCACCGAATTACCATATATAATTGTAGATAAATGTTTGGCAGCCATAGGCCCGCTTACCACAATGTTATCTCCAATATTTGGGCTTTGTGGATCAAGGCCCGCTACTCCATCAAGTTTAATTGGAATAAAGTTGTTTTTATTGGGCCCGCTCCTGTCACATGCATTTCCACTATTTCTAGTGAAGATCTCCACTCTTGTTCCATTAAAATACTCCCTGCTTGTTGAAATTTGTGCCTCCTCTGTACTAGAGCCACCGCCATCTTCTTTCCCATCTAATTCCAAACTTTTGCTTTTACCCGGAGAAATCATGATACTGGAGCTTCCTTTCAATTTCGAAATCATTAAAAAATCATTTACCACCGCTTCTATTGATTGACTCGCCGTAGCTGTGACGTCCTGTTCTTGAGATGGCGTCCCACGCTCTCTTTCAGGGAAAGTAAGGTCATAGATTGGGTTTGCATGCTCCTCGTAACTCGCGCCCACAGTCACAGACCTGTTGTGATCAAGCTTTCTGTCACATCTGATGGTGACTGGGCAGTCGAAGGCGCCAATTCGGAAGCTGACGCAAGTCCCCGTCGCGTGAGCTGCCTTTCCGAGCTCAGCCGTCGCCGGATGATGTATTCCAGAAATCCTTTGTAGTTGCTGATCCTTTTTCAGAGACCCAACTAAAGATTCCGATTTACCCCGATCTTCAGCCGAAAGCATAGGTCTCTTCGCTGGCGTTAATTGTCGGATCCTGACCCTGAAGACTAGGTCTCCGTCAGCCACTTCTACTACCTCAGGGATGAAACCAGTGAAGTTGGTTTTTAGTTTTATCTTTGCTTCAAGCAGAAAACCGAAACTAGTGGTTGTTTGGTCAATATCCGCCAGACCTCCGCAAGCCTCACCAATATCCTGGAAGAATTTTTTGGTCCAAAGATGCGGTGGTAAACCTTCCAATGCAACCCAACCTCCATAACTGACCGCCAGTCTTTTATTTGAATTCAAACTCTCCCACCACCCCGCCAGTTCCACCTCGGGATACTCCTTCATAGCTATAGCTCCAAGTAGTGCAATTTTTTTTGCTTCCTCCTCGTTCTGGCAAACAAACAGTGCTTTGTTGCATTGAAATGGCGAGAGTCTGATGTCCGTTCCCAGAAGTTTTCGAAGTGAAGCCTCCACCTCCCTCCAGGATTGATGCACCACCTTTCTCTCACAGACTACAACACATCCCCAATTGTAAGATTCTTTAGAGCAGGTCCTCTGATTCCAAGTGTATTCTTTCCAAAAATCCTCTCTGGCACTCCGTGTGGATTCCTCAGTTGACGTCGACTTGCCTCCAATGACTGCATCCCTGTATGAGCCCTGAAAGCCGCCGCCCAAAAGATTTCTCCTAGGCTTAGTTCCAACCCGGTTCACCTTCCTCATTGTAGCCCCCGTCTTCTTTCCCCCTCGCAGGATCTCAGACATCAGCTCTTCCAGATTTCTCCATCCGATGCCTTTGATTGCTTTCTCAAAAATCGAAGAAGCATCGTTCTCCGAATCTCAAGAGCCAGATACCACATGCCACTTTTTCAAAGTGCTCTGACAGAGTTAAAACATGTGAAGCTGGCAACTCCCACTACCGTGCTATGACCAAGCAGGGTAAAGGAATAGCATTACTACTTGTTGTTAGGGAGACTCCTATATATGTCGACCTCCATCCCCAACGAACAGGCAGACCTGCAAAAATGCTTAACCCTTCCTCATATCTGAGAGGGCACTCCCAACGAAGCATTTCGAAATTCAGCTTTCTTTCCCCCTGATAATACCTCTGCAAACAAGCTATACTAGAGCAAGAATATCTCATATCATCAGGGTTAAAAGCAAGAGTATCCCATATCATGCTTTTTCCCTGTCTTTTCCTTTGGCCTTGTTTTTACCTGCAAGACAAGGAGAAAGAGAGCAATCAGTCAGCACTTGAAATCAAGCTCCCAATCAGGAACTGACTGCCTGGAACCCCTTACCTGATTACTTACCTGGCATTGCTCTCGAGTACTCATCTTCAACATCTTATGTTTCCAGGGAAGATACCGCATCTGCTTGAGGAACAGATAGGGCAAGTGCGAAGGATACAAGGAAGCATGTGGAGACAAGCGTAACAGCACACGTGCCTATACATCCATTACTCTGTCAAAAGCAAAAGTATCCCATATCAGCAGGGTCGAACGTACTCTAGATTTGATGGACTTGTTTTGACCCTCAAATTCTTCAATCGGCCTTATACTCTGGAGGAAACCAGAAAACCCTCCAGCTCAGTTCAAGAATAAGCCTGTGGAAAGCTACTTCTTCAAAAGCAAAAGTATCCCATATCATCTCTTCTCATTTTTCTTCTCTTTATCCTTCATGCTGCTGCAAGATGGGGAGAAGGTGAACAATCAGCCGGAGCTCTGATTGCTTACCTTGTCTGTCACCTCTTTCAGCAGATCCCCTAGCTCGGCGACTTGGGGGACTCCTACTACATGGTTTGTATCGCGCTTGACCAAGCCTGAAACTACAAGTAAGCTTCAAGTGAAATTGATACATTACCTTGTGCATCTCCACCAATTAAAGATACCACCCCTGGATGGAGGAAGAGTACTTCCAGAGAAGATGCCACATCTACCTATGAGACAGATAAGGCAAGTCAAGATGATACCACACTCCGATACTTAGAAGTTTCGTGATTACGAGATCATTCTCCCACAATATTTCCTAATGTCATTTGTACTCTAATGTCATTTGTACTAAATCATTCACTTGTACTCACTAAAGGAGAGCTTAAACTTATGTACTTGTGTAAACCCTTCACAATTAATGAGAACTCTTCTATTCCGTGGACGTAGCCAATCTGGGTGAACCACGTACATCTTGTGTGTTTGCTTTCCTATCTCTATCCATTTATATACTTATCCACACTAATGACCGGAGCAATCTAGCGAAGATCACAAAAAGCGACCGTTTTCGTTACCTAGGATCTATCTTGCAAGAGAACGAAGAATTAGATGGAGATCTCAACTATAGAATACGAGCTGGATGGATGAAGTGTAAGAGTGCATCCGGCGTGTTGTGTGACCGTCGTAGGCCACTGAAGCTCAAGGAAAAATTTTATAGGACGGCAATAAGGCCAGCGATGTTGTATGGCACAGAATGTTGGGCGGTGAAACATCAACACGTACACAAAATGGGTGTAGCGAAGATGAGGATGCTTCGTGGGATGTGTGGGCACACGAGAAAGGATAAGATTGAGAATGAGGATATCCGAGGTAAAGTAGGAGTAGCCGAAATTGAAGGAAAGATGAGAGAAAATCGGTTCCGGTGATTTGGACATGTGCAAAGAAGGCCGACTGACGCTCCGGTTCGAAGATGTGACTACGGGACAGAGGTTCAGGGCCGAAGGGGTAGAGGAAGACCTAGGAAAACTTTGGAAGAGACTCTAAGAAAAGGCTTAGAGTACTTGGATCTAACGGAGGACATGACACAAAACCGAGCGCAATGGCGTTCTAGGATTCATATAGCCGACCCCACTTAGTGGGAAAAGGCTTTGTTGTTGTTGTTGTTGTTGCCCCATACATCACTACGTATATCAATCCTTTCATCCACAGCATGCAGTACATACCATATGTGTACATGTACAAGTTGACTAGACATTGCACTGCAGTTACTCTCTTTTTAAACATTTATATTTTATAATAATTGGAATTATAATGGGAATGGATCAAAGGATCAAATTCGAATGAGGACGAGCTTCAGGTATGCTGTAAGGGGAAAAAAAATCAAGATTCTCTGAATATGCAGGGTTATGCCTGAGGGTACAAATGAAAATACCTGTAATAACCTGATGCCTTCCATGATATAGTCAATCTCCGCCTTGAACGAAGATATGATTTGGCAGATTTTGTCATCCATATGCATCAATTGAAGCAGGAAAATGACTGCATCTACCATACTTGAAATGTCAGTTGCGTAGTGGGTATGATCACCAGTTACATGCGACAAACTACTTTCAGTTATCCATGACCCCAACGTATTCAATACAAGATTCAGAAGTTCGTGACTTTTATCAAACAAGACAAAGCAAGGGATGAGATAATAACGACATGAACTTGAAGAAATGGAAACGGTGGTCTTCTTGTCATCTTCAACAATGCACTGCGTCAGAAGGCAGAAACTTGAGAAACGGTAAAACTGAAACAAGGCCGAAGGACCTTCATTGTTTGAAATAGAATACTATGCACTAGAGTGTCATGCAACAATTTAAAAGTTCACGAAGAGGAGGCACAAAAAATTTAAAACAATACTACACGTCTACACAAACACATAGAAAGTATTAGAGCAAGATATCTGCGAAATGTTCCCTATATTGATAATTATTAAAAAGACATATATAGACATCCCTTCCAAAGCCCCATCCTCCAGACCAGCAGTAGTATGAGATTGCAAACAAAATTATATTTTGTTGGCTTTTATTAGAGGACATGATATTTAAAGATTCCAATCCATCGATTCTTGTGTCACAACGTGCAACTATGGAAGTATGACACGGTAACTAGCAACTTACCACACATAGATACATTTATACTTCATAGAGGTTCCTATTGGAAAACACAACAATTTAAAATGAGCCTGTAAAGCAAAATGTCTTTGTTGATGCCTTTTCTCTTTGCCAGGGATAATGAGTCAATTATTATACATGCATGAATTACTCTCTCTTTGTTAGAAAGATATTAAACGTACCGAGGCCAGCCTAAACCTAATCTATTATCCTCATTTTGGTTACATTTGCAGGCAGCGTACCGTGGCCAGCCTAATCCTAACCCATTATCCCACCCTTGACAACTAGTTGCATGATATTAATGCTGCCTTGCATCTTCATTAAAAGGTCGTACCCAGTGCACAAGGCTCCCGCTTTACGCAGGGTCTGGGAGAGGTGAATGTCGGCTAGCCTTACCCCCATTTATGGAGAGGCTGCTCCCAAGTCTCGAACCCGAGACCTACCGCTCATGAGCGAAGGCACTTTCCATCGCACCAAGTGCGACCTCTAATTAATGCTGCCTTGCATCTTCATTAATACTAAAAATCTAATTAATAAAGGAAACATAAACAAAATCCTGATTAACTAGTGAAAAAAAAAGAAACCAAATCCTTGTGGGACAAGGAAAGATAAAGTTATCCAAAACTAAAACTTTACTTAAAATCTTAAAACTCAAGCCTCTTTTCTTTGAAATGTAATCGAGCCACTAACAATGACTTGTTACTTTTTCCTACTTCCAGATATTATTCTTGAATGCATAAGCATTATTCTTTCTTAATTTGTAGCACCCTCATTTCTTTCTCCACTTTAATTGACCCCTATCTTGTCCTACATCAATAACAGATATCAAATCTGAGCATCCCGTGAAAAAACTTATTTTCATGGAAAAGACAAATTTACATATGAGCAGCAGAGAATAACAGAATCAATAAATATTGAATTTCAGAAACGAAAAACACTGGAATCCTCTCAGTGGAACATATTCCAAACTAAGTTAGAAGACACAAGCAAGTAAAAAAATGGTGTTTTGGGGGGGGGGGGGGGGGGGGGGAAGGGGGTTAAGGCAGATGCTCTCCAAACAAGAAATGAAAGTTACCTGCACAACGTCAATCAGATACCGTGGAAGGATATTGCCTAGGCTTATAAAAGCTCTTTGGGAAATTATCGTGGTATTAGAGTCCAGTGTAATAAGCGTCCTAAGCATAGCACAAACGTTGTCTAGAGGAGGATTTTGAGACTGAAATATGTACAAAAATCAGAATCAGGAAAAATAGATAACCTGTAACTTTCAGAAAAAAAACGCAGCAACGCACAGTAAGTTGACAAAGTTAAGAAGATGAAGTTATAAAATAACAAGTTAAGAAGATATTAATGTTAAGAAAAGTAGAAAAACACAATAAGATGAAGTTATCTAGTCAACTCACCATCTGATCGAGTATAATTTTCTCTAGCATCTGCAAAACAAGAGTATTATCACCCATCTGTGACAGGCATGAGCAGACAATTCGGCTGAGTGACTTAAAAGTCCCTCGATTCGAGATATTCACATCACTCTCTCTAACAGGAACGATATTTTCTGCCATGATGAAGCCATTTTAGGTTTGGAACCCAACAAATTGCAATAAAAATTATGCATTTAAGTAATAAATTGGTTCTCTAGTAATAATAATATGAAGGCATCAGATCTTTTGGCAGCAAAAATAATAAATACCTATAAATAGTCAAGGGCAGGAACTTTCTATCCCAAAATCTCAGAGTAAGATAATATGCTAGATAATTTTTGTTCTGAAGCAGCCCTTTAAAACAAAAGTTGACAAAGTCTTACACTTGCAATGTAGTTACCTTATTAAGATAAAGCATGAAAAACGATAAATCATTTGAAAGTCATCATATTAGTAGAAAATTAGAAATTTGAAAGTCATCATAAGATGTCAACCGTTACAAATAGAAATTACACATACTAATACAAACCATGAAGAGGAGAAGAAATTCTGTCAGACATACCTGGGAAAACTCTGAAACGGGAGAGCAAAGTGATCAAGCAACTAATGTGATCAACAATCTGAATATACCCAGATTTATAAGCTGAATTCAGGACCTCTATGGTTCGAAATAATACATATTGTTCCAGATCAGGACCTGCAATGAACAGCAAAGAGATAGAAATGTCACTTAAACTATCCCAATTTGCAAATAACTTGTCACACTTCAACGATGTTCACACATCACTGGAAAGCAGAAGAGAGAACATTCATCATTACTTCATATTGTTACCATATAACATCAATCAGAATCACCCTTTGATGTTTAATGGCACGTCTAACCCCCTATATATTTGGATTTAATCACTTAACAAATGACAGTTACATTAAGACATGAATGGCAAGCATCTATGTTCCAGTTGAAGGAAAATTACTATCATTCAACCACAAAATGATGCAACAAAATGGTTTCTGCATCAGATTTTAAAATGAAATATTCTTTCTAACGAAGAAACTGATGAAGATAGGAATTTTTTCCCGATTCTTGTAGTAAAAGATAACTCTACCAACAAAACTACTGTGCAGAAAGGACCATATCTGGTACCCATGTGACTTTAACCCAGAATACTTTTGGAATCCCAAGGTTCCTTTATAATTGATATAACAGAAACAAGAATAGCTTGCATATTAATGGCACGCATGAGACATTAAAAAAGTCAAAATAACATCTATAGGGAACTTTGTACAGCATGCCAAACCTAAGCTGTCAAATCCATACAGAATCTAACCAAGGCAGACATGAATAACTTACATAGGCAACAGTAAGCTATTGACTTCAGCAAAAGTGGACCCAAATTAGAGATATAACAGAGGCAGGAAAGAGAAAGTTCTTGAGAATCTCTGGGAAGCCTTACAAAGGGACCATATGATACATTTCCTGCAAGAACAAGAGGCAGAATCATAAGAAACCAAGTTTTCTGCTGATGGATGATTGATCCACAAAAAAGAATACTAGTGTCTATCGAATGGGCTCTTACCATCATCTTGACTAATGCCAAAAAATTCTTCAAGTGACAATTGCATGTTGTCATATTCCCATGCAAAGGAAGAGTTCACTAAAGCACGTTGTCCCAGGCGAAGTAGAAGGTGCAGCACAACCTGAAGAAACATGCAATAAAAATCAGAACTAATGGGGTGAAAAAGCATAGCCCTATGGGCTTCAGTCTCAAATGATTTTAATAATTACTCTCTTTCTCAATTACTGTGGGATTTGTTAGCAGCAGTAAAGTGAGTTAGGTCTAACTATTGTTGCTGTAGCCAAATCCTATTGAGAGTTTTTCTTGTTTCTTGTAAATGGTGGATTTCTTATCCACTTCAGTGTATTTCTCTTTTCTTTTATAAAATGTTTGTTTCTTCTCAAAAAAAAAAAAAATGATAAAGACTGCCTATGGAGAAAAACAAAGACGATAAATAATGACAATAATATTGAATAACGTCCTAACACAGAGATACAAGATGCAAAACCTACTGTCTAGATTCTTCTGTGTCAATACTACTGTCTGTCTTACGAGGTTAAAAAAATCTTACCTGGGAATAGTATGGGTTTTTATCACCCAGCAGGATAACCAACATAGGAAGCTCTCTTATCCAGGTAATCTGAAAGTCTAATATCTCGGGAATACTCGGATCCAGGTACAGCATATCTTGTCTCTACGATGTGTAGAAAATATATCAAAATTCAATTTGAGAGAGAGAGAGAGAGAGAGAGAGAGAGAGAGAGAGAGAGAGAGAGAGAGAGAGAGATGAGTCTAATTTCTTGCTACCACAGGTATACTAAAAGGAAAGAAAAAACTTGGAGAAATTGCAAGCAGGATGTATAGAGTCAAGCTTACGGGAACTAGCAGCTCCTCTAGTACGGAAAGACAAGCCAACTTTAAAGGGGATACAGGATTGCAGTCCTTGAATGCCTCACTAAAAGCCTGCATTTAATGATATATAGGTAACATCATTTTCAGAAGTTAAAAGACATAAATCATTTAATACCCCACTACAATGGTTTGTGTAAATTGGGAACCTCTAATTGTGTTAGAACCAAATCTAGAGTTACACAACCATTGAAGTACTTAAAGAAAAGAGTCAAGACAATCTTGTAAGGAAAAAGGAATTCGGTTGACATAACTCTGCTGATGATAAACTCTTGGAATGTAAAATAGTTTTAAGCACAGCTCATACCTGAAGAAGGCGAGACTTCCAGTCATCTGCCACTTGAGAAACAAGTTTTGGAACAAAAGGAAGAAGTGAAATTAAATGCTTCTCCCAGACTTCCTTACCAGAAAGCGTGTCATTGCATACCTGTAAAGTAACAAGTTTCCAACATTTTAAAAGAAGCTTTACAGAAAGTATTAGAAATGTAACCTAAAACATACAGTAAAAAACTATTAAATACAGTAACTAAAATTGAATGAAATTTTCTTTTATAAATAACCACCATGGCAAGTTCTAGAGCATAAATATTTTGCAAGTAACAACCTATCAATTACATTATTCTATTGAACATAATATGTCTTAATTTCTAGGAAAACTACATCAAGCACCCACCAGTATTTGAGCCCCAAACTATCATGGCAAAATGTAGATCATAAACTTCTTTTTACTTTCAAAAGGTGATGGCTGTGGAACAACAATCCATCGTTTACATTATTATATTGAAGACATTATTTTAATACACTTTGTTCAAGGCAAATTACATCAAGCACCAACCAGTATTTGCACCCCAAATTAACCCCCATCTTTGTGCTTAAGGGGAAGATGTGCCATGAGCCCTGAAGGCCATCATCGATGTTATTAATACACATAAGCAGAATGCAAATCATTTTTTTTTGTCAATATATGAGATTATTTTATATTTCAATTCATTGAATAGAAACAATCAAATTACTATGCTATTATACTTATAACTGCTTATCACACCTAAATCAGTACTTTTAAGAAATACAGAGCATATGATGCAGAAATTTGAACAGCATGAATGCAACTTCATACTAAAACATTATGGTAGACGAACCAACCTTTCCAAGCAGAGAATCTTCCAGAAATGCTAAAACTTTCTCAAATAAAGCAGGAGGAGGGCAGATCCATTTGCTTAAGTGCAAAAATATTTCTGTCATCACAGTGTTCAATACAAAATATTTAACATCATCCTGTCAAACAGAAATAGAAAAGGACCGATTCAAGTTAAAAAGAGAACTTGTAATACTGGCAACAAAAGACCCTCATACAATGTGAAATGAGTTACTACACACACACACACACACACACACATCTACAGCTAAGAATGTGCTTCGCATAGTAGACATCCCTTTCTAAGATATTTGGTGCCCATATAGCACCTGCCCAGATCCTAAAGTTTGAAATTTCCCCCCAAGAAAAAACTCTAGTATAGAATTCTTACTATACACTCGGGTTTCAAGAATGTAAGAGCTGCCAAGGGGTTGGCCTGATATAATCCATAGAACAGGACAGACTTATGGAAACATGACCTTCTATGAAAATGTCAAGATGTTCAGATACCATTAGATAGTAATGAAAACTCCAAAATACTGAATCGCTATGATGCATGGACACGGACACGGATACGGAGATACGATACGACACGACACGGGGATACGTCAAATTTCTAAAAATGAAGACACGATACGGCAAGGATACGGCAATTAAAAATAATATAAATAAATAAATATATCTAAATATTATAAAATAAGCATTCAAATATACTATTCAAGTTCAAATTTATTTCGATAAACTTCAAACATTTAAAAGATAATCCACTAAACAAATTAGTCTTCAAACTTGAAAAACTAAAAAGAACATCCAAACGACTTAAAAAATAAAAAGAAAGAGTCCCTCATTCTCGAGCTAGCTTTTTCATTTCTGCAAGAGCTTCATCAGTAACCTTATTGCAAGAGACACCTTATTGCAAGAGACGATCCCATTTCCAGACACTTTTAACAAATGAAACTTGACCCTAGAGTAGGATCCTCTGAAAATCTTTTGACAATAGTTGCATTGAAACACACTACCTCCTCTTCCATTTTCCACTCTTTCGAGCTATTTGACATACTTCCATAGTGTACCATGATCATTTTCAACATTCTCAACTAGGTTGACATTAGCATTCGCATGATTATCAGGATGATTCATTTTCCTAAATTATCAACATGTAAATTGTAAGAATCAAATATATAAACAATAAGAGTCAATCCACTGTATAGACAGAGACTATTACATGAGAAATTTATATTAACTTAAGAGATTAAAAAATACATCATGAAATCCATAAAATATTATAATCTAAATATCATGAAAGCACAATAGTATATTATTTACAATATACAAAATACAAAATAATATTATATACAGAAAGCAAAAGTGGGCACGAGTATTTTGTATATAATATATTTTTGTATATAACAGATAAGTGATTACTGATTGCACACCATCTGACCCCATTGATTGATCTTCGAAGATCAAAATAATATATTATACAGAAAGCAAAAGTGGTTTTGGCTTTTTCAATTTTGCATAACAGATACATTGAATTAGTCAATGGCTTAAAGCAGAAATGGGGCTTTTAGCTTCGAATAAAAACAGAGCAGCATGTTTCTTTCAATTTCAGAGGGGTTCTGCAATCAGATTGAGCTTCAAAATTAACAAAGTGAAAACAAAGTCGAAGGGCTCTCACCAGGAGTTGCAGACGGAGACGATGGAGACGATGGAGCAGTTGCAGACGGAGACGATAGAGACGACGGACGGACGGAGCAATTGCAGATGAGTCTGATTTCTGAGGTCCGAAATCGTTTTGGTTTTTAGTTAAACAATCGTTTCAGTTATCTAATTCGAATCAATCACGATTCTGTGCGGATCTATTGGATTTTTTTTCTGATTATCCTCTGATTTTGCTTGAAACGTATCCGAAAAATATGATACGCGTATCTCGACAATATGATACGCGTATCTTGGTAATAAAGAACGTATCCCTTCGTTCCGATACGTATCGGGCGCGTATCTACACGTATTTTGTACGTATCCGTATCCCTGCGTGTCAGATACGGGATACGTTGAGTTTTCCCCGTGTCCATGCATCGTAGCTGAATCGAAATTGCAAGACATACAAGAAATATCTTAGGTGAACAAAACAGAACAGAAATTGAAAGAAATGCAAGAAATATCTAAGATGGACAAAAAATAAAATGTGAAGGTCAAATACACATTATTCATTGCATTCGTACATAACTTTATACCAATTTTATTCAAAGTATAATATATCATTATCAATGAAATAACAAGGGTCCAAAAAAATGGAATATATCGATGAAAATATTGACAAAAATAATAATGGAAATTTTGACACAAAAATATAAATATAAAATTAAAATATCAAGCAACACTGTAGGCTTCCATGCTTACTAGAGTATTAAAACAGAAAGACCATAGAAAGGATGCAAAATAAAGTGAGACCAATCAAGAGACTCTTAAAGAAGTCATTTTGCAGAAACAATGATGAGTTAAAAGTTATATTAAGGTTATAACTTATACCTTTTCTGAAAGTTGATTTCTCATGTTCAGGGGAAACAAAACTTGCAAAAACTTCTTCACTAGCGTCACAGAGATAGTATCACACAGTCACACCATCCCCCCCCTTGAGAAGGTTGTGATTCTAGTTTACCCTCATCAGTCATATACAAGAAGAATTTGACTGCAAGGTTTATGCTGTTAAGTATGGACATCATACAATCAAATGATTGTGTATTAAGAAGAGAGCCAGTCTGAACTTCCGGAATAAAATCTTGGAAACAATTTACTAGAACTGGGACAAGGTCTTTTAGTTTCAGGATGATGATTGAACATCCTACAAAAGAAAGCAAGATGATGATAGGTCAATATGAAAATGAAAAAAGGTTTTAAATAATTGGAAGTTCTTGAATTGCGGAATGCTTGTCCCACTAAACCGCAACTTATAAACACAATCTAAGTAACAAGCAAATATTATCAGAGTGAATTTTGATTTCTCCTGCTGTGAGAACGCTGCCAACTGCAAGGCATTTGAAACTAAGAAGTACAGACTAATAAAATTACATAACCAAAATAAGTATTATCATTCCAAAGTTCAGGAACTTCAACTATCAAACTGATCTATTGATGATCCATATGACTAGACACATGGTGCCATCAGTAGAACATAATTGATAATGATGTATAAACACATGCTCCAATGTATCACATACCAGCAGATTTTGCAGGTACATCAGGCTCAAAAGCATGCAGTCTCCCTTGTCCAGCACCATTCTATTAAGTAAAAGGAAAGGTATTACAAAACTATTTCATCAATAAGGCAAGAGACTAAAAGCAGTAACTCAGAACAGTTTCTTCCTGATGCAATTATATGCCTAGATAGTTTTTTTTTCCTTTCATTTGGCCTCTGATCACCACTATAACCCAAGAAAAAAAAAAACTCTCCCATTCAAAAATTGTTCGTCCAGCTTCAGAAGTCAGATATCCGAGTATGAATAAAAACAAATTTATTTTCAAAACTTTCACATGTGTAGTCGAGGCTACTTTTCATGGCTTTCTGACTGACACATGCTTTGCACGAGGGGTCTAAACTAACTAAGTATAGGAAAATGATGATTATAATAACAACAATAACAAAATTTAACAGCAAAGTTTCAACAATAATGTGCAATGAAAGAATACAGCTGGAAGGTACAAGATAACAAGCAGGCTCATGCTGCACGATACAAACAATGAAAGAAAACATGCAAACCCTCCGGATTTTAAGAAAACTTAAAAAAACCTTTTCACATGAGCCAGCTTCTCTCGTGTTACATGGCAAAAGCGACAAGCATAGTTCCAGGCCAGCAAGAGCAGTCTTGAGCATGCCCTTGTCCTCTAAAAAAAACTGGTTCCTCTGCAGAATATCCTCAAAGCTTTGAAGAATCTGTCAATGAAGCAACTGTTAAAACAACCTTAAAAGTTATCTTTAAACACAAAAGAGAGTGGTAACACTGAAAATTCGAGTTCATCTAATATTTAGATTCATTAACCACACAGACAGACTAAACCATAAGCAATTGATAGGAAATAACACAGTGGAAAATATAAAGGCAACCATACAAACAGGCTCACACACCCGCCAGGGATAAAGATTCGATCAAGAATATCTGAGTACAGGAATAACATGTCTAGTGGGATAAAGAAAGAAGATGACAAGTAACCTAAAGCTCAACATCTACACTGCATACAACCTTTTACAGCACAATCTTAGGATACCTTTTCAGCATTCAAGAAGAAGGAAGGTGGATGGTATTGGATAGCAAGCTCCAAAAATTTGAAAGCCATCAACCGAACATCGATTGCTAAATGTGTCATTGCATTAAATATATAGGCCATCATCAAGGAAATCAACAGCTCTTGATTATCCTGGACAAGAAAAGAAGGGAAAAAATGTCACATTAAACTCATTGGCTATAATCACCACCAAACTTAATGATAATAATAGAGAGATGATGACAACAAAATCTCAAAACAATGTTACACTTAGATGAATCCATAAATACAATAAAAGCAGTGTAGATGTGAAACTACAAAATTGTTCTATTGTACGGAAGATGCATAACATTAAGAAAAAGTGAAAACTAGGAAGGAAAAAAGAATAAGCCCTTCAAAGATAATTTATGTCAATTTCTATGAAAGAGACAGAATTAATTCCATTTCCCCCCCACCCCCCCCCCCAGCTAGGAATGGCTTTGCACATCCAAAAGTATGGCCTGGCAGTTTAATTTAGTGCAATGCATGTCAACAATTGAATAAAATTTGGCATATAAGACACATGTATCGTGAAACAATTAAGAGAAAACTAGTGTAATTAACAACCCAAAAGTTTCTTGAACTGCAAATAATAAAAAATAATCGTCCTTGTTTCGCATTAATACATATAATTCACAACAGGTTTTTACCTTGCTGCATTCAGACAAGAATAAAAAATTACCTCCTTACAGCCAGGTAAAATTACTGACTTAAAAAGTTGATATAGCGTATCTCGAACCAGCCTATCGTCATCGCCAATGCGTTCACGCAGCTTTTCAACAACAGCGTACTTGTGCAACCTCAACTCTTCTGGATACCTAAGGAGTAAATCCTTCATACCCAATAATGCATCTTCAGAGAGAAATAACGGTAAGATTATTTGATATATACTATACGGTACAAAATATCAATAATGGGAAACAACTTCCTAGACAACATAATTATTGAGAAGGTCGTAACTTCTTCAAATTTAACACATTAAAACCCAAATCAATGTGCAGAAATACATGATCAACGCTCAAGGTAATCTATTTCAGGTTAAAAATAGATTAATTCTCATATTTTGGAAGATACTATAAGGCTATAAGCATTTTCATTAAGAAAATATTTTAAAATAACATTAAAATACCTTTACGAACTTTCGGGTTGTAATGAGATGTTTGCTGAAGAAGTTCTTTTAATGTTAAACCTTTCTTGTTCACTGCTAATCCTGCCTTCTCCGATGCCACACTCTGCTCGGGAAGAACAATTGCTGCTCATAGCAATCATTATTTAGTACTCATTAAGAAACTAGTTCACTACGACATTTGACATCAAAATGGAAGCACATAGGCAACTCCTTCATCGTGGCAAGAAAAAGTATTTCAAACAATCAAGAGAATACAAACTCTCATCCTCAATTATTCTTGTCACCCCCAAACAAACTTATTTTAAAACGATGACAGAATTTTCCTTTCAATGAATTAACGAAAAACGACACAGAGAGTACAAAAAGTAATATCAACTCATGAATTTAAGAACAGATTAAAGTCAAAACCTTTGGACTTAATTTCAGTATTCGTAGCGTTCTTTGGTGGCGGCAACTTTCTGCCAATCTTTCGCTTTATTTTCTGCAAAAATTACAAAAGAAAATAAACATCAAATGCAAACAAAGTTTTCAGATGTTGAACTTCCCAAAGAAAAATGCATTCAAAACCGGAAATATCGATTACTTTGAAGTCGATGCCGCGCTTTTGCTGCTTCTTTGCCGGAGCCTTGGAGCGTGCCATTTATATCTACAGCATACACACGATAAAACGATCTTATTAAGTTTCTGAACAGACTAATTACTTTGTTTATTGTATGAAATACAATTCAATTGACGAAATTAAAGGCTCTGCGATCATATCAGTTATTATCAAATGGCAATGCGGCGCCGTTTTCAGGCCTTAGCCAGCTATTAAGAACAAAAACTCCAGAAGCAGTAAACTAAACCAGCTCTCCGTTTGACAGCTGAGAAAATTTGGGGAAGTAAAAGGAAAATATCAACTCTAAAAAATTAAAGAGAACTAATTGGTTCTCACTTCCTTTGCGTACCTTTTTCTCGGCAGCCAAACAGCGGAATGGTAACAGTAAACTGTAGTCTTCGAAGTGCCAAGCAATGAAGTTGAAGGAGGAGGAGAAGGAAAGAGAAGGTCAAGGAACGAGAAAGTGACAGTCACGGCGGCGATGAATAATTGCAGAGCGTATTGAGAGGGAAGGGGGAGTTTTGAGGAGCGGCGTCTATTTTATTATTTGCTCATTTCAATTGTAAATAACTTATTTTTATCCTAAAAATTTTATAATCGAAATTTTTTTAAATTCTTAAAATTACTCAAATATTATTTTTATAATCAAATTTTGATTCAAATAAAGTTTTGTACGAATATGTTTTTTACATTGATATTTTAGTATAAAAAAATCGACTAAATCATAAAATAAAGAACGTAATTTAATATTAAATTTGTTATTTATGATATTCGAATTTAAATCTTTTTATTTTTCGGTTTTTGCATTTCATATGTCACGGTCCCTCTTTTGAACCAGTTGGGTTTCGGTTTTCATCTTAAAAAATTCCCTTCCGATTTCGGTTTCTACCTTGAGAAATCTGTCCGGTTCGGTTTTTCCTTGTAAGAACCAATGTGGATTCGGTTGTTTTTTTTCGGTTTTTACCCTGAATCTGTCTCAGTCCTCCTCTTGTACACATTTTTTTCGGTTTTACCTCGAAAAGAATCGGTTCTGTTTCGGTTTTTATATTAATTAACCGCTCAGGTTTCGGTTTTTACCCTTTCATTTTCTCAGTGTCAGTCTCTCTAATCGACCAGTTGAGGTCCGGCCTCCAAAACCCAGATCACACGGACGACTTCATTTGACGCCGGAAACTTGTCGGATTCCGTCGTATGCGGTGGTCTTGCGGAAGAGAGCTAGAGAGGACTGCGGGTAAAACACGTTATTTTCGAAAGTAAGTGAGGGCAATACTGAAAGTTTCATTGAAACGGGGCTCTGGGTACGCAGACGACAAAATGATCCAGAACACCGCCTAGTGCCATAGACGACGATGCAGCAGCAGCAACAACCGCAAACAACGACCCAGAACTCCACGCCGGCGCAGCCTCCCTCTGCGGGGTCTACCACGGCGGATGCGCCACCAACACCGACCCTCCTCTCATTTTCATTCTCTCACATCCTCAACCTCTCTCTATTCTCTCTTTATGCGGGGTCTTCATGCACTGATCTTACCGGTCCACCACCATGAAAATTCAAATAGAGAGATAGATGGGGTGGCCGCAGAAGGGTTTTCGTGGCGGAAGTGTCTGGCGTGAGGTTTTGGAGAAGAAGAGTTCTTTTTCTATAAAAATTCGATCTCGTTTCGGATTTATTTTCGGTATTTACCCTTTATCTGTCTCAATTCCTTCCCTTAAATTGCTTTGGTTTCGGTTTTTACCTTCAATGGACACGCTCGGTTTCGGTTTTTACCTAAGAAAACCAGTTCGGTAACGCTCGATTTCGGTTTTTACCTTCAACGAACGCGCTCGGTTTCGGTTTTTACCTAAGAAAACCGGTTCGGTTTCGATTTTTACCTTCAATGGACACGCTCGATTTCGGTTTTTACCCTAAGAAACCGGTTCGGTTTTGGTTTTTACCTTCAGTGAGCAGGTACGATTTCGGTTTTTACCTTAAATTATTTTGTATGAGAAGTGTGAACAGAAAAGTCAGAGTCGGCTACTCGGCATGTTCAGTTTTAAACGCGTTCTGTGGATGAATGAACTTTCGTGGTCCAAACTCTGCCTTTTACTCGGAACTCGGTTTCTTTGTTTTACAACACCTTCAGATCAAAGCACTACATTATAATATTATGTTTATATATATATATGTGTGTGTGTGTGTGTGTGTGCGCATGCATGTATACATATGTTTATATATTCTTGCTGGATATATATGGTGCTGGCCACGAGTGAGTGAATTTAGAGCTGCAGCTGCTTGTGCAAAAATTGCAATCTCAGTGAATTTAATCGAAACCCACTACCGAGTCCATGGCGGAGAGCAATGGCGAAAGAGTATATACGAAAACAAAAACTTAAAATTGTTTTTAGTTTTCATCTTGTGTTATTCTATATACATTTCTTAAATCAGCCCCTTTCATTCTTCTTTTATTCGTCACTTTCGCTCCCGAAAGATATCCCTCTAGTTTATTACAGAAGCATTTAGAACTTGATTTATGAGAAGAAAAGCTTAAAAATAGAAAAATTTAGTAACAAGCTCCAACCCAGATATCCAAATGACAAATGGATAGCATGTGCTGGCCGCCACTCGAAAGTGACGAAAGCCATGAATATATAAATTTGCAGGAACATGAAGGAACCGGTAATCCAAAAATCATGCAAAAAACAATAATCACAAGGAATATACAAACACTAAGAGGCAATAATAATAATCCTAATTAAACATGAACAAAATAGAATGTCCAACTGTCACAAAATCCAAAATAAAAGATGTACGAATATATCCAGAGCATACCACTAAACTGAAATACTAGTGAAAGGTAAGACATCAAGTTACAATGATTCATAAAAGAAAGCTGTTTGTACCATACTTAGGGCTTCCGTATTTAGATCTCGTATAAATACTCAGGGGACTTAAATGTACTTATGTAATAAAGGAAGAGGCAAATATGTAATAAGTGAGGAGCCCTTATTCTATAAAAGGACTCCTCACTCTCCTCATTAGGGGAGGCCAACTCTTAGGCCTAAAGCCCCCTCACCCTCTCACATCCCCTCTCACATTACAGAGGTTCTCTCCCTCACAATCCTCTCAGAGAAATACAATATCAGTGTGGACGTAACCCAAACATTGGGGTGAACCACGATACATCTTGTGTTATTTACTTTCTTGCAGATTCACGGTCGGATTTACGTTGTTCCAAGACCCCTCCGGTTTTGTGCATCAACATTTGACCCCTTCGGAAAGTGAGGGAAACCATGATACATTATGTACCATATATTGGGCCTCAATTGGGCCTCATGAAAAATAATTGGGGGACTCTAGCCCATTATTTATGTATTGAGGAGCGAGCCCTTATTCTATAAAAGGAACCCCCTCACTTTCATTAGAGAGCACCCATTATTCATGTACTAAGGAGCAAGTCCTTATTTTATAAAAGGGATTCCCTCACCTTCATTAGAGAGCATCGCCGCCTGCTGAGCAACCGCCTCGCCGCGAGCATCAACTCTAACCCATTATTTATGTATTGAAGAGCGAGCCCTTATTTTATAAAAGGGAATCCATCACTTTCATTAGAGAACACCCATTATTGTACTGAGGAGCGAACCCTTATTTTATAAAAGGGACTCCCTCACTTCCATTAGAGAGTATTGTCGCCAGCTGAGCAACCGCCTCGCCACGAGCGTCAACTCTGACCCATTATTCATGTATTGAGGAGCGAGCTCTTATTCTATAAAAGGGACTCCCTCACCATCATTACAGAGCATCGCCGCCTACTGAGCAACCGCCTCGCCGCGAGCATCAACTCTAGCCCATATTTATGTATTAAGGAGCGAGCCCTTATTCTATAAAAGGGACTCCCTCACCTTCATAGCCACAAGCCGAGCCAACCAAAGCAACATAAGCTACAAGCCGAGCAGCATCGCAACATATGCTACTTCTAGTTGAGCATCATTTCAGATTGAGCACCGCCTCATATCGAGTATCAGTCCTAGACGACATCTAGTTACTTCGGCCCACACATGGACTGAATTTCAAGTCTCTAGCCAAAAGACTCTCTTGACTGAAGACTTGGGGAACTACTGTTTGTACCATACTTATGGTCTCCGTATTTAGATTTCGTATAAATACTCGGGGGACTTAAATGTACTTATGTAATAAAGGAAGGGGCAAATATGTAATAACTAATAATAAGAAAACCATTTTCTTTCTGAACATATTAACCCCCTGTTTTGAAAACGTATATAATACTACATATAGGTTTTTCTAAAACTCTAACATGCCAAAAATGTTCGTAGCAATAAAATCATCTTTAAAAGTGGTATTGAAATGCCCAAGGGAAAAACCCAAGAATCTCATAAATCCAAAACAATGGTATACTTAACTAGGGGTATCATAGTCGTTCAAAGGTGAAGCTGTACGATACTGGGTTATGCCAGTGAAGAAACATGGTAGGCCTCATCACCTGAAGCTGTACGACTCTGGGTTACGCCATAGAAGAAATATAAAACACACCGACACTAGCCGTGGCTAATAAAGCTGTCTGACACTGGTTTCGCCAATGAAGCTAAGGGCATGTCATAAACGAACAGGTCCGATTTTGGTTATATCTTTTCGATTTTTGCCCTTAATCTGTCTATCCTTCCTTGAACTTATGCAGTTTCAGCTTTTCCCTTATAAAAAAGGGTCCGATTTCGGTTTTGTGTTTTCCTTTTCGTACCTTTTCGCGGCAACCAAACAAAGTAATGAAAACAGTAAACCAATGTAGCTTTTCGCCGACCATAATTAAAAGAGTAATTTTAACTAAAAAAATGCCGAAAATAAAGAATAATTAAAAACAAAAGAAAATTGGGGGTTTTGGCAAAACCTAGGGTTTCTAAATCTCATTTTCGTCTTCATTTGTCATTTCGATTTTAGAGCCCAATTAATAAAATTAAGGTTTTTGCTTATCTCAATAAAGGACATAAAATGAGTACTTCTTTGAGGGAGTTTAGTAACTCAGAAGAGTGTAGAAATTACTTCTTTTACCGTCGAATTAGGAAGGAAGAAATGGTTGTAGATTTAAAAAAGATGAAGCATAGAAAAGCAATGGGCCTAGATGATATACCGATCGAAATGTGGAAAGTCTTGGGAAAGACGGGTATAGCATGGCTCACAAACGTTTTCAATAGGATTTTGAAAATGAAGAATATGCCAAATGAATGGCGAAAGAGCACTTTGGTGCCTATCTACAAGAATAAGGGCGACATACAAAATTGCATGAATTATAAGGGTATTAAGCTAATGAGTCATACAATGAAGCTCTGGGAGAGAGTTATTGAGCATAGACTGAGGCAAGAAACACGGGTCTCGGACAACCAATTCGGGTTCATGCCAGGGTGCTCAACCATGGATGCAATATATCTCTTACGAAGATTAATGGAAATATTTAGAGATATGAAAAAGGTTTTACACATGGTCTTTATAGATTTGGAAAAAGCGTATAATAGGGTCCCAAGAGACATTATTTGGAGGATTTTAGAGAAGAAATGAGTACGATTAGCATATATCCAAGCTATAAAGGATATGTATGATGGAGCAAATACTAGTGTAAGGACTCATGAAGGACAAACCGAAAGCTTCCCCATAACTGTAGAGTTACATCAAGGCTCATCTTTAAGTCTTTACCTTTTTGTATTGGTAGTGGATGAGTTAACGGGACATATTAAAGATGATATTTCTTGGTGTATGCTTTTCCCAGATGATATAGTGTTGATAGATGAAACTCAGGAATGGGTAAATGCGAAGCTTAACATGTGGAGAGAAGTGTTGGAATCTAAAAGTCTTCGCCTAAATTAGTCAAAGATAGAATATATGGAGTGCAAGTTTAGTGCAAATAAAGGTCAAATGAGTTAAGGGTGAGGATCGAGGACCAGGAAGTACCAAAGAGCAACCGTTTTCGCTACCTAGGATCTATCTTACAAAAGAACGAAAAATTAGATGGAGACCTCAACCATAGAATACAAGCTGGATGGATGGAGTTAAAGAGTGCAACGAAGACTTACTGACGCTCCGATTAGAAAATGCGACTACATGACAGATGTCCAGGCTCGAAGAGGTAGAGGAAGACTTAGGAAGACTTTGGATGAGACTTTAAGAAAAGACTTAGAGTACTTGGATCTAATGGAAGACATGACACAGAACTGAGAGTAATGACGTTCTATGATTCATATAGCCGACACCACTTAATGGGAAAAGACTTTGTTGTTGTTGTTGTAGGGTTTTGCCTATCAATTTATAGTTTGATTAACAACAAATTTGAAAATTTTGCAGGTGCAGATTCTGTTAATGGATAACAATGAATTGAAGATGAAACCTTTCAATTCCGGTTACTGAATTTTTACCATGCAGAATCGGAACGGTTTTGGGTTTTTGCCCTTCGAATGTTTGTCTGAACCGGTTCGATTTTGGTTCTCATCTTGAAAATTCCCCTCCAATTTCAGTTTCTACCTTAAGAAATCTGTCCAATTTTGGTGTTACCTTAGGCCATCTCCAATCGAGAGCTGGCCAGATGGCTCGTTTTAGCCCTCTGGCTCTCCAAGATATTAATATTTTAATGAACAGTACATGACTATATTTGTCTCCGTCTCCAACCGAGGGCCAAAGGGTCATAGGGCTCGTTTTAGCCCTGTCACAAAAAACCGTCTCCAACCGAGGGTCAAGGGACCAAACATAATTTATTATTTAAATTTAAAAACTACAACAACTTAAATTTAAAAACTACAACTTAAATTTAAAAACTACAACTTAAATTTAAAAACGACAAGTTTAATTTAAAACTACAAATTAAATTTAAAAACAACATTAACTTAAATTTAAAAACTATAACAGCTTAAATTTAATATCCATAATCAACATCATCTTCATCATCCGCCATTGTAGGAGTATAGACAGAGGTAAACAACTGCTGCCGAGTCATAAATTTTTTTCCTATCAAAATAGGCCTTACTCATTGGAGTGTAATTCGAAGTGTTCCTTTCCATATTCTTATCATCCATCTCTTCTTGTATTTGTTTGGCCCATACTTCATGCCTACACTTCCTTTCTTCAACCTCAAGGGCATTTTGCTCAGTCATTAATCGCAATGAGGCTGCCACTTCATGTTGAGCAGCGTAATCATCATTTGGCTTGCCCTTTTCCTTCAACTTTCACTCCTTGTTTCGTCACATAGCCCTAGGTATGGAACCTTGACCCGAAGACGGATTTTCTACCCTTGTTTGTTGAATGGTAGGACATCCATCTTCATCCATATCTGCAGTTGATGATGCAGTTCCGAACACCAACGTAGGAGCTCTATGTGGTGGATCTTCAAATAACACCCACCGTTTACAAATTTCCCAACAACTGTGAAAACTGAAAGGGTTTCGAGCTGCTATCCATATACAATTCCTTCGTTTGGTGTACCTAGAAAAAAATTAAAAGAAATTAATTTATGAAATTAAATGTAATATAATTAAATATTTAAAATAAATTGTGAAACACTTACTTTATCGTAGTAATTAGCGCCGCTTTCATGTCTACTTGGCGCTGCTAACAATGCTTGATGTCATTTGTTCAAACTTGGCTGAAGATGTTTCTTCCATCTTGAAGAACAACTCTTGTGGTTTTGGATATTCAGCGGAGTGATGTCTTCACAAAACACTAAGTATTTTTTGGACACACGAGTCCAAACACCGTCATTTGTTTGACAATTCCCCCTCACACTATCTTCTGACACCCATCTATAGACCTTGCAAAGAGCTTCATCTTCTTTTTGGCTCCAAGCCCTACCTTTCATTGTAGACGAAGCCATTTGAAAATTATTGAAAAAATTGAAGGATAGATTTTTGAAGGGGAAAGAAATATGAGAATTGAAATGGTGAAAATTTTGTGAAGAATGGTGAATGAATGGTTTATGTATTTATAGGAAAAAAATTCTATTTAAAAAAATAAAATTGGTCCAAAAAAAAAAATTTGAATCCAACGGTAACTAACGGCTAGCTGACATCAGCTAGTCGTTGGATTCAAATTTTCTTTAAGCAATCTTGTCGGTTATAACCGACAGGATTGTTGTGAATTTCTGGCCAGCCCTTTGGCCCTTTCAGATTTCATGTGGCCCAAGAGATCTCTGGCCTAGCTCTCGGTTGGAGACGATTTTCAAGCTATTTTTGACCCTGTGGTCCTCTGACTCTTCGGTTGGAGATGGCCTTATGGGAGCCAATCTGGTTTGCGTTTTATCCTTCGGTTTTTACCCTCAATCTGTTTCAGTTCTCCTCTTATGCTCCTTTTTTTTTTCGGTTTTACCTCAAAAGAATCGGTTCCGTAACTACTGTTTCGGCTTCTACATTAATTAACCGCTCAGGTTTCGGTTTTTATCTTTTCGGTTTTATCTTTCGGTTTTTATCTTTCCTGGTGGAAGTGGCTGGTTGAGGTTTTAGAGGAGAAGAGTTTTTATTCAGAAACAAGGGCAAATTCGGAATATTGAAGAATATAAAATGGGAAGACTTTGGCGCTTCAATTGACTTTATGCAGACAAGTTAATCTGTATGAGAAGTGTGAACAGAAAAATCATAGTCGGCAACTCGGCATTTTCAATTTTAACCGGGTTCTGTGGAAGAATGAACTTTCCAGTTATAAACTCCGCCTTTTACTCGGAACTCGGTTTCTTTATTTTACAACACCTTCAGATCAAAGCACTGCAGCCTTTGACTTGGGACTTGGTTTCTATATATATACGTATAGTTGCTGAATATATACGTTGCAGGCCACGAGTGAGTGAATTGTAGAGCTGCTGCTGCTTATGCAAAAATTGCAGTCACAGTGAATTTAATCGAAACTCACTACCGAGTCCATGGCGGAGAGCAATCGCGATCTTCATCAACCAGGTAAGTTTGATATGTTGGATTAAAATTTGACTTTTTGCAATTCATTGCAACGTGAGATGTAACCGTTATTATTTTTTTTTCTTTTTTTTTTTGTTAGTTTTAATTTCAAATCATCATAAGAAAAAGGAATTTATTTGCTCAAAGATCTTTTTTTTCCCTTCTCTCCCATCTCTCACCACCAACAATCTTTTTGTTTGAGATTTTCATATGGTATTTGAAGATATCATCTCGCATATCGCAACGGAAGTCGTCTGTCATAAACTAGCACTACTTTCACTTGACCACTCCTATCAATACGTTATTTATTTTACTGTTGCCGGGGTTGTTTATTTTGTCAAATTTGAGGTCTGAATTTGATTGATGGAGTGAGTTGGCGGTGCCAGTGAGGTGGCCGGTGGGAGGGAGCAGCGGCTGAGGGTCGCAAAGAGGAAGCAGACAGAAGACTTGCCTTAGCTTCTGGGGTTTTATTTATTTATTTATTTTTGTTTTAGGGCTCATTTTGTAACCATTATGTTTTTAAATTTGTGCTGTGATGGAAGGAAGGTATATGGGAGTGGGTGAAATGAGAAATGGAGGTTGTTGGTGGGAGTAGGAGAAACGAAGCAGTGTATATGAAAACAAAAACTTAAAATTGATTTTTGTTTTCATTTTATGTTATTCTATGTACATTTCTTCAGCTACCCCCTTCATTATTATTTCATTCGCCACTTTCGTACCACAAAATATTAGAAATTAATAACTAAAAAACAAAATAGTTGTCAAATGGTAATGCACTTCGATTGGTATGCACGTGTCAGCAAGGCCATTTCGAGTCTGATTAGCATTCTCATTCCTTTTTTTTTTCTTAAAAAAAAAAAAGAGATTTACTTGTAATCGTAAAAATATTGGAAACTTTAACGAAAAGTTCTCAGTACTGTTTACTTTAACTAAAAATCATATTTTTACACTAAAAAAATCAATTCTGGTACTATTCACTTAACCCTTTATTTTATCCTTATCGTTAAAACTCAAAATTTTCAAATCTTTTCCATTAGTTTTCTTTAAAATATTTGATCCAAGTTCATTTGTGGTTCTTATGTTTCCTTGAAAGTTGTCAATATATACATATATATATATATATATATATATCACAAGTTTTAGCTTAAATATTTTATTATTTATTGATTATGATATGATTGAATGCAGAAAGTAGAATTCTTCAATTGAATACAAGTAGAATACTTTCTGAAGGGAAACATCGATGGCTACGTCCGCATGAAATATGTGAAGTTCTTCGGAATCCTAACGGAATTACAATTTCTAAGAAGCCTACAACCATGCCACCGAGTATGACTTTCTGCTGCATTGCATTTGTTAAGAAATATTGTATTGGCTGATTAAAAGTATTTGTAACAATTGATGTTTACCCCTGCAATTTTAAATCTACTATTTATCCTTGAAGGCTTAAAGAAAACTGAAAATACTTTTGTTTTTGTCTTTTTTTTTTTTTGAACTCCCTTACCTTCCCCTTCTCTCCTTCACTAGCTCGATAGTGCTGGCCATGTTAGACCAGTTTTGCTTTATGTGGAGGTGACAGTAATTTTCGACATCCCAAGTTTAGGAATGAGAAACCTGTACCTGTTTACATTATTAATCTTTCTATTGCGCTATTTTTATTTTTTGTCACTCGAATTTTCTTTAGAATTTTAGGAATTTGATTTTGCTTTCTGCATCGTTCTTCGAAGATTCATTTGGATGTGTATTGAAAATTCACTTGATAAGTTTTGAACTGTTATCATTTGGATAAGAGGAAAGTTTATGTCAACCGGTGTTTGTGTAAAGTATTGTTCGAGTTGGTTAATCACTTTCTTTGGATTTTTCTGTATAAATTTAATTGGGCTATTCTTTATCGAAATTATTATTTGCACTCCAAAATTCTATATTCCAAATTTTTTGTATTTAGAAAAAAAAATATATTTGTGAGAAATGCATTGGAGTGCCACTACAGTTTTTATTTTTATTTTTTTATTATAAGAAATTAATTGGGATATAGTGGCATTGGCTTTCAAGAAAATAGGAATTGACATTTGCATTGGATGTTAAGACATCTTTATTTTTATTAATTATTTTGGGATGCCTGTGAACATTGCATTGCTTTATTTGGAAACATATGAAACCTATTTTTGCTTGGCACGCATCGTTTGTTTTAGGTGGATCCATATTTCTTTTTGATAAGAAGGTGCAGAGATATTTTCGAAAAGATGGCTATAGATGGAAGAAGGCAAAAGATGGAAAGAGTACTAAGGAAGCCCATGAGAGGCTCAAGGTAAGTATTCGCCAACGCTAAGGTTGATGTTATAAGAAACGTGATCATCATATTTGATGTATTAACATGACACTTAACCATACAACTATATTTACGTAACTTAATCAGTTAATCTTGTAGCTGTTGATTTATTTTATGGAACAAATGGCATGTTGAATATCGCCATCTATACTTTTATGTGGTGTAGTTGGAAGAACTTTGGTAAATTTGATATGGAGCAATGCGGTATGGTATAATTTTGATGTGTAGCATTTGTCAGGTTGGAGGTGTTGATACATTACATTGCTACTATGCTCATGGAGAAGAAGATAAAAATTTTCAACGACGCAGTTACTGGATGATTGATAAGTGTGTTTCTAGAAGAATTTATTCACTTTTTTGGCCTTAATGCAGTGATCTCTCTTTTCTATCAACTTGCTTTAAATGCAGTAAACATTTAGTCTTACGTGCTTACAATTTGATTAATTGCAAACCCTAAACTCTAATATGCCACTGCTGCAGGTATCTCTCGCATATAGTTCTTGTCCACTATCTAGACGTAAAGGTTATGACTTACATTGTCATTCATATTTCAGTAGCATTTCAAAATCTGTGCAGTTAGTCCTTGATATTCTTACACACCCTTTCTTTCAGTAATTGGTTGTATGGAGAGAACAAACTCTTGTAAGTAAACGCAAAAGGGTTTTAGATATAGACTTCTAAAGTGAAGGAAGTTGTGGTTCCACCGTACAACCAATTAGCAATATGGAGAATAACCAAACTCCTTATAAGCACGTGCAAGGTCCATTCTTTCTCCAATGTTGCGATTCAGTCTCAATATAAAGGAAAACTACTCTATTGGATCAGTTATACAACAATCTAGATATGACGTTAGATGAGATCTAGGCCCTTATGACCTTACAATTTGTCCGTCATATCCATGTTCTACCTATTGACATTTATGATATATAACATGATCAGGGAGATACAATGGGGGTTGGATACATTAAAGAGACTCAGACTGCGGAAGTTGTTCAGCATTCCCGTAAAACTAACAAAATTACACCCAATTCTGAGATGGACTGTTCTGCTGCCTTGTCTTGTTCAAATAACGGTGTCTCTTGTACGTGCAATGCAATCCTTTGTCTTATTCAAGTAACTTGTTCCAGTGTATCTTTCAAATCTATATTGTCTTTGTCAATACATGAAAATAGCTATTATTTGTTGAATTGGTCAACAAAAAAAAGACTGAAGAAGCTGTTTCATATTTGCACGAAGCTCAAGAAACTGGACTCTGGATTAGGATGGTAGAGGATGCCGTGATAACTTTGTTTAGTTCAAATTCATCAAACCTTGGAGATGATGAAACAGGTACGTGTTGTACATTGGAAAATCTTTGTCCATAGTTTGTCATGGCTACCTTTTCTTTTATAATTATTTTGGTGATTTTGTTAAACTAAACTTGTTAGTTTTGTAAAAAACTCTGTCGAAGCACATAATGTGGAGCACATGTTGCCATTTTTTTCATTTAAGGAAAGTCCAAGGCCAAAAATGAAGAGGAAGGGGGAAACGATATAAACCAAGTCCGGAAGCGACCCAGAGTCACTTGTGGCCAGCAGGTAGACTCAGCCACCCAAAGTCACTCATGGCTAGAGTGGATATACCCCATGGCAATTGATACAGCCATTACTGATGGTGCGACGAATGATGCAACTGCATTGAGCCAGGTAGAATCTACAACTCTTCTTCTGCACTTCTTTGACTCGTACCAAACCCAAATGAAATAGTCATGTTTGATGCATCGAAAATCACATGAAGAAATTAGGACGGGCTGCAAGTGTAGAAAAATGAGTTTGAAGGGAAAAATCTCAATTTTCTTTCGAATTTAACGCATATTGGTTTTTTAAATCCCTTTTAATCTGTGAACATTAGGATCCGCCTAATTATCTAAATTTTATTTTTTAATACATGCCTCCTTTGATAGTTTGGGTTATGACTTTCAGTTTAATATTCAAGATTCTCAATCCATTATTTAGGCACAAGAGGACGATGAAACCACCAGATTGGCTGCATTTCATATTGCAGACCCTACTGTGGCTGCAATTTCAGCCATAGGGCCAACACATCTAAATCCATATACCACAGCCAATGTAGCTGATCAGGTAAAACAGATTTCTTTGGTCGACCTTCCTTTTATTTCATGTTCCAAAACAAAATATGTTGAATGGTAATCTTGTCTTGGCCCAAGAGAGTAGTAAGAGAGTAGTAAGAAGTGTGAGGAGTGAAAACTAAGAAGAAGTAACAAAGCTTCTAAGAGTGTTTGAGTGTTTGAGTGTTTCCTCTTGTATTAGTTTGTGTGAGAGTAAAAAGTTTTTGTGTATTATCTTGAGTGTTCCTTATTCTCTTGTCTATCAATTTCTGCTGCGTTACATTCTTTTTTGTGAGATAAACATCTCTGAAGTAGTGAAGTCCTTTTAAGCCCCAACAAAATATTCCTTGTTTCTCCTTTCAGAATGTGACTCAAATTTCTTCTCGTACTACTTTCATCGTTTCCAACCAAGGACTTGATAATCAACAGGCTGATCATGTACTTGAAAACCTTGTTCTATCCATGTAGATCTTCCTTCATTTCTTAACTTCTGATAATATTTCGATTTGTAGGCTCAAGACTTGCTGCCACCAGTTCTACAGCCAACTGCAACCACTGGGGTTGTTATTTCGGCCACAACCAATGAGACTGCTGCTTCCAAGTCCAGCAATGCTGCCTTGGTGCAATCGGAGCCAAACTCAAATGCCAACCAAGATTTAGCCCAAGACATAATTGAGGTAAACAATATTTCATCTTTGATTTGCGCGCCTGTGTGTGCTCACGCATTTGTTTTAATCTTCTAAGACAGTTTTATTTAAACCTTCTTTCATTAACAAATCTGTTTAAACATAGAGTCAAGAGAAGGAAAGGTATGTTCACAACTTTCTTCAATTCGACGACCCTTGGGTCTTGTCAAGTTTGAAGGTAAAACATGGATTAGAAAATAGTAGAGTTTGGAGGGATAAGTTACCCTCAAAACTAATCTATCTTCTAGCTTCGACTTGGACATAATTTGGAAGTTGGCATCCATGTCTTCGTTTGGCATGCATCGTATATATCTATTCCATTCCAGTCCTTGACACTAGCTTAACGAGGCCTCAATAGTTTTCACCAACGTCTTTCTATTGTAGAGTCATGAGTTTGCAGAAGTTCGGGTTATTAGCTCCCTTAAAAGACTCCATGAACTTTTAGGCCAAGCGTCTGCACCCAATCCAGTGGCCAGCTCCTCCATTTCTACTCCTACCATAGACTCGCAAGCCATGGCAAAAACCAGAGCTACTTTAGAAATGGACTTTATTACTATGGCTGGTGAGGTTCAACGAGCTCACATGATTTCAGGCATCCAGAGCTTGGTAGATTCTAATTGCTTTCCCACCGGCACTGGACCAATGATTATGGCTATGTTGAAGCAGCTAGAGCAATCTGTTCCAGTCTACTCCAAAGCCTATTCTGAGTATGATATGGGTAAAAACTTGACTGTCCGAGTCGAAGCTATGAAACAGCTTCTTCAACCTAAGGTTCAGTCTTGTGATAGCAAGGAGAGAGAATTTCAAGACCTTGCGAAATGGAAAATGAAGATTGAAGCCAAGCAGGCTGCAATACTTGCTGAAATTGATGGCATCGTCAAAGAGACTGAAACGATGCAGGCACAACTCAAGAAATTGCTTTTACAGCAAGATCAATTTAAAGAAGATGAAGGTTATCTCAAGGCCATTTTGGACAATGGAGATGGCCTCTGGACAAAGTTTAAGAACATAATTCACCAGCACCTCCCCATGTGACTTCCTTCGGGTTGCATTTGGGCTGCGGTCCTTTTTCCTTTTCTTTTTGGTGTTGCATCTGCTCGCATTAGCCAGCAGACTTTTTTAAGGAGAAAACTTTCAAGTGTATTGAGAATACGGTCGGGTATATCAAGGCTAGTTATTTGCATTGAAAAATCCTGATTATAGTTGCATTTTGGTATGTTGTACTTTATAAATGGAAAAATTGGTTTTGATAACCTAGTTTTCTTTATAATAATTTATTTAAGATTTGGTTTAGATTTCAATCATGGTTAATATTTAGGAAAGTTGGATAAACTGTAGGTTCGACTCTGAGAAATTTATTGTTGAAGTTTTCCAGGCTAGTCTCTAATTTTTAATGTCTAATATTAGAAAGTCAAAAACACATTTTGTTACATAAAAAAAAAAAACTTTAATGAAAAGGGTTTGGATTAAGTTTATTTTAATAAAAAATCATGCTATAACTTTATTTAATGAAAAAGAATCAAAATTTAATGAAAAACCCTTAATTTTAATAAAAAGGACAAAAAACTTAATTTTTAATGAAAATGACACAATTAAAAAAAAAATTTAAAAATCTGACGCGCGCATGACGTGTACACTGTTTATGAAACTAAACATTATTTATGAAACTAAACACTATTTATAAATTGAAACTATTTATGAAACTAAACAGTATTATACTATTTATTTGTCTAATTTCATAAATAGTGCCTAGTTTTTTGTCCACTTTCATGAATAGTGTCTAGTTATTGATCATGTTTCATAAATAATGTATAGTAATTGGTACAATTTCATAAATAGTATCTCTTTCTTGTTTCGGTTTAATAAATAGTGTCTAATTATTGGTCCACTTTCATAAATAGTGTATAGTCCAGTTTCATAAATAGTGTCTACTTATTGGTCATGTTTTATAAATAGAGTCTACTTATTGGTCTAGTTTCATGAATATTGTCTACTTATTGATGAAATTTTATAAATAATGTTTAATTCTTGGTTCAGTTTCATAAGGTTTGAAACTTAAACCCTTTTTGGTCCTATTAAAGCACTCATTGTGCCGAAAACGATGAACCCAGAAGTGACTCTTTAGATCAAAACCTTGAGAAGATTATGTTCTCAGTAATTATATTTAAAAAGCTGTTTTCAATTACAAAATTAAAATTTCCTCACTTTTTTTTTTCATATACCTACAATAATAAATGTAGCTCATCTTGGAGAATTTTTTTGTGTGTCCGTAACACAAATGGTATACCACGTGTTATTATCTAAGTGATGGAAATTTTTATTTTTTATGTTATTAATTTTTTAACATAAGAAATGAGTGGCTTTATTTTTTAGGTCTTTTTTTTATTTTTTTATTTTTTATTTTTATCTTTCTTATTAGTCTTTTGTCCTTATTATTAAAATAAAGTTAGTGAGTGGCTTTTTATTAAAACTAGCTTGGACGAGGCTAAAGGTTGTTGGCCAAAATTTGTACCCCAAGTTCTTTGGTCATACCGCACTTCGTATCGGACATCAACTGGAGAAACCCCATTCTCACTTACCTTTGGTACAGAGGCAGTTATCCCAGTTGAGCTTGAGTAAGCAACATTTCGAGTCCAGAACTACGTGTAAAGTGAAAATGACAAACAACTTACCCTCAACTTAGATTTAGTCGAGGAACACAGAAACCAGGCTCACTTGAGTAATGTCGCCTACAAGCAGCGCATCTCCAACTACTATGACTCAAGGGTCAAACCTCGTTCTTTCAAACTGGGGGACTAGGTATTGAAGAAAAGATAACTCTGCGACAGAGCCCCGAGTGAAGGAACACTTAGTCCAAACTGGGATGGACAGTTTGAAGTTGTTGGCATCAGTCGCCCTGGCTCCTACAAGCTTAGAAGCTTCGATGGCAAGACCCTTGGCCATCCATAAACGTTGATCACTTGAAGTACTATTACAAGTAAACTCACATTGTACAAGTGTTAAGCTTTAGCCGTTCGGCATCCTATGTAACGAAGAATATTTGGCATGAATTCAATAAATAGGTGATTTAGACAACTCGGTCCTAATCTTCTTACATTCCTAGCAATGAAACACTCGGGTTCAAAGCTTCAACATGAATGCTTCCAACATGAAACAAAGTCTAAGTATATGTCAACAAGACTATACAAATAAACAAACATCTTCACAGTATATTCGTTTAATCATACATTCCAACACATTCATACATAAGCCAATTGTGCTTTGAAAGGGTTCAACATACTTTGTGTCATTCGACACTTGCTACAATATGTATAGACACATTGCCCTTATACTCACCAACCAAGTGATGAAATGTGAAGAAGGAACTCATCTTCATGCCACCAACCAGGTGATGAAATGTACAACCTGTACTCTCCTTCATGCCACCAACCAAGTGATGAAATGTACAACCCGTACTCTAATATCATTTGGCAACTTGCCACTCATGCCACCAACTAGGTGAAGAATGAACTTATCTTCATGCTACCGACCAGGTGATGAAATGTACAACCCGTACTTTCCTTCATGCCACCAACCAGGTGATGAAATGTACAACCCGTACTCTCCTTCATGCCACCAACCAGATGATGAAATGTACAACCCATACTCTAATATCATTTGGCAACTTGCCATTCATGCTACCAACCAGGTGAAGAAGGAACTCATCTTCATGCCATCAACCAGGTGATGAAATGTACAACCCGTACTCTTCTTTATGCCACCAACTAGGTGATGAAATGTACAACCCGTACTCTAATATCATTTGACAACTTGCCATTCATGCCACCAACCAGGTGAAGAAGGAACTCATCATCGTGCCACCAACCAGGTGATGAAATGTAATGAAAGGTGATGAAGGAACTCACATTCGTACCACCAACCAAGTGATGAAAGCAACTCACAATTCATTCCACCTACCAGAAGACGAGTGGTACAACTTGTACATGTGAACTCCTAGCATTCACAAATAATCAAAAACCCTCAAGCTTGACAACTCAACTAGGGGAACACTTATGCCAAACAAGAGCTTTATCAAAGGAGTTCAACCACAATTCTCAAAAGCTTCACACACTCTTGATCAAGACAGTGTGAAGCAAAACCAATTTATGGTGCCAACAAGAGCTTCATCAAAGGAGTTCAACCACAATTCTCAAAAGCTTCACACACTCTCGATCAAGACAGTGTGAAGCAAAACTAATTTATGGTGCCAACAAGAGCTTCATCAATGGAGGGTAACCACAATTCTCAAAAGCTTCACACACTCTTGATCAAGACAGAGTGAAGCAAAATCAATTTATGGTGCCAACAAAAGCTTCATCAATAGAAGGCAACTACAATTCTCAAACCTTCGAAGCAAATTCAAGACTATTCGAAGCAAATTCAATTTATATGGTTCATCCAAACATTCGACTACTACAAGGTGTGGCTTGCATCACAATCTCTTGTTCAACAGTGTGGAAGCAAAATTTGTATATGTTGTCTCTCCCACATTTTCAAATTTCTAGTCCCCCACATCTTCAACAAAGCTTCATCAATAGAGGACAACTACAAATTCTCAAAAGTTTCACAATATCTTGATCAAGATAGTGCGAAGCAAAATCAATTCGTGGTACCCAACAAAGCTTCACCACAAAAGCTTCACCAACAAAAGCTTCATCAATGAAGGACAACTACAAATTCTCAAAAGCTTCACACTATCTTGATCAAGATAGTGTGAAGCAAAATCAATTCATGGTACCTAACAAAAGCTTCAACTCCAAAGCTTCACCTACAAAGCTTCAACTCCAAAGCTTCACCTACAAAAGTTTCACCCATAAAAGCTTCACCAACAAAAGCTTCACCCCATAAAAGCTTCACCAACAAAAGCTTCACCCCATAAAAGCTTCAACTCCAAAGCTTCACCCACAAAAGCTTCACCCATCACAAAAGCTTCACCCATAAAAGCTTCACCAATAAAAGCTTCACCCACCACAACTTCACCCACAAAAGCTTCACCCACCACAAAAGCTTTACCCACAAAAGCTTCCCCCACCACAAAAGCTTCACCCACCACAAAAGCTTCACCAACAAAAGATTCACCTATCACAAAAGCTTCACCTACAAAAGCTTCACCTACAAAGCTTCAACACAAAAGCTTCACCTACAAAAGCTTCACCTATTTTGATCAAGATAGTGTGAAGGAAAATCAATTCATGGTACCCAACAAAGTTTTACCTACAAAGCTTAATATATATATATATATTTTTTTTTTTCGGAAGTCTCACCTACCATATGCTTTGTAGGTAAAAATTCGAAAATTCAAAAATTCAAAAATTTGAAAAGCTTCACCTACCATATGCTACTGCACCTTGATACTCGGAAGTCTCACGGCCTCTCAATGACTTGGATTTTTTCAAGTCTCCAACCTAGAAGTTTTCTTCACTCAGGAAATTAAGGGAGCACTACCTCAACCTACATGCTTCACTCACAAAGCTTCAACATACAAGCTCAACAAAAGGAAAAATTCAAAGAACTTAGTGAAGAATGCCTTGGTGTATTTAACACAATACGTTGAAATGAAGCAAAACTTGTTTATTGATATCTCTGATAAGTTACAAATATGTACATATACATGAATCAAAATAAACAAACAAGAGCGAGCTTTCACAAAGGTTGCTCGGGAGAAGTCTCAGCAGTCGGTAGAGCCCCAGAAAGAGCAGGCACCAGAGGGTGATTATTCGAAGCCTCAGTACTAAGCAGAACCCCAGAAGGAGGAGGCACCGAAGGTTGATCATTTGGAGCTTCATTGGGCGGTACAGCACCAAAAGACGAAGGCAATAAATGCCTTTGGAACAAACCCACAAACCTCTGATGATTAAGTAAAATCTGACTATCAGATTCCTGCAGCTGGTTGAGCTTCCTCTTCATGTTTGTAGCATAGTCATGTGCGAGTCTGTGCAACTATTTATTCTCATGCTTGAGCCCTCTGATCTCCTGTTTGAGACTTATCACTTCAGCCGCCAATGATTCAACTTGGCGGGTTCGAGCAAATAGGCGTTGGGCCATATTAGACACAGAACCTGCACACTGAACACTGAGAGCCAGAGAATCCTTAACAGCCAACTCATCAGACTATTTGGAAAGTAGTATGTTATCTTTGGGAGTGAGAAGGTTCCTGGCCACCACCGCAGCAGTCATATCATTCTTCATCACAGAGTCCCTAACGGTAAGAGGACCAGTAGGGGATAAAAAGGATGGGCGCCATATGTTGTCTTGAGAAGGCATGGTTGCCTCTTCACCAAAATTCAAGTCAAAACGACGGTTGAATGGGCCAGACATTCTCAGAAATGATGAAGGAGAAATGAGGTGTAATAAATCTCTGAAGTAAGGGGAAAATTCCTACAAGAAATAACTCTCTGAATGTACTTCTTGCACACAATTGGTGCCCTTATAAAAGAAAGGGCAACATGGTCGTTGATTCAAAAATCGAAGAGGCACCACTCTCCAGATTCTGAAGAAGCACCACTTTCCACACGCAACATCAACTTCTCGGGTACCACATATAACTTTGCCAAAGATCTCTGACAAAGTTTAGACACATAAATTTTGAAGGTCTAGTTACCCTACTATTACCCACAAGGGTAAAGGAACAGCACCACTGCTTAATAACTAGAAAGTCCTTATGTGTGTCAACCTCCGTGCTCCGTGGTAAGGCAGACTGGCAAAAATGCCCAACCTTTACTCACATTCGAGAAAACACTCCCAACAAGATTGCTTGCTTAAAAATCGAAGAGGCACTACTCTCCGAATCTCAAGAGCCAGACTCCCAACAGGATTACTTGCTCAAAAATTGAAGAGGCACCGCCCTCTGAATCTTGAGAGCCAGACTCCCAACATGATTGCTTTCTCAAAAATTGAAGAGACGCCGTTCTCAAATCTCGAGAGCCAGATCCCCGACATGATTGCTTGTTCGAAAACCAAAGAGGCACCGCTCTCCGAACTTCGAGAGCTAGATTTTCTTGGATAAAGCTTGTCTGCAATCTTCACACGCAACATCAGCTTTCCAGATAACACAGACCACTTTTTCAAAGTGCTCTGACAAAGTTAAAACACGTGAATATTGCAGCTCCCACTACATTGCTATGATTGAGAAGGGTAAAGGAACAGCGTTACCACTTGCTGTTGGGATAATTCTTATATATGTTGACCTTCATCCTCTACAGCCAGGAAAACCTGCAAATAAAAAAAATGCTCAACTTTTCTTCACATCCGAGAGGGCACTCTCAGTAAAGTCTCTCGAAATACTCAGCTTCTTTTTCCCCCAATAATATCTCTGCAAACAAGCCATAACAGAGCAAGAGTATCTCATATCATTAGGGTTAAAAGCAAGAGTATCCCATATCATGCTTTTTCCCTGTCTTTTCCTTTGGCTTTGTTCTTACCTGCAAGACAAGGAGAAATAGAGCAATCAGTCAGCACTTGGAATCAAGCTTCCAGTCATGAACTGACTGCCTGGAACCCCTTGCCTAATTACTTACCTGGCATTGCTCTCGAGTACTCATCTTCAACATCTTATGCTTTCAGAGAAGATACCACATCTGCCTGAGGAGCAGATAGAGCAAGTAAGAAGGATACAAGGAAACATGTGGAGACAAGCATAACAGAACATGTGTCGATGCATCCACTACTTTGTCAACAACAAAAGTATCCCATATCATCAGGGTCGAACGTACTTTAGATTTAATGGACTTGTTTTGACCCTCAAATTCTTGAGTCAGCCTTATACTCTGGAGGAAACAAGAAAACCCTCCAGCCCAGTTCAAGAATAAACCTGTGGAAAGTTACTTCTTCAAAAGCAAAAGTATCTCATATCATCTCTTCTCCATTTGCTTCTCCTTATCCTTGTTGCTGTTTACGACACAAAGAGAAGGAGAACAATCAACCGGAAGCCGAAGTCGAACCTTCGATCCAGGTTGCTTGTTTGGTAGTATGATTGCTTACCTTGTCTGTTACCTCATTCAGCAAATCTCCTAACTCGACGACTTAAGGGACTCCTACTATAGGGTTTGTATCACACTTGACCAAGCCCGAAACTACAAGTAAGCTTCAAGTGAAATTGATACATTACCTTGTGCATCTTCATCGGTTAAAGATACCACCCATAGATGGAGGAAAAGTACTTCCAGAAAAGATGTCACATCTATATATGAGATAGATAAGGCAAGTGAAAATGATACCACACTTCGGTACTTAGAAGTTTCGTGATTACTCAATGGCTTGGATCTTGCAAGTCCCCAACAGAGGAGCTTCATTCACTCGGGAACTTAGGGGAGTACTGTTTGTACCATACTTGACCAAACCCGAAATTACTAAGCATCGGTCAACATTATACCCCCAATGACCCACAAAAGTCTCCCTCCAACTAGGAGGCCAATCACAACGCAACACATGTCAACATCAAAGGTCAATCATAATGCGACATGTGTCGACATCAGAGGCCAATCACAGCACAACATGTGTCAATGTCAGAATGAAACTAGAAACTCTCTTCTATAAATAGAGATTATTCTCTCACAATATCTCTTAATGTCATTTGTACTAAATTATTCACTTGTACTCACTAAAGGAGAGCTTGAACCTATGTACTTGTGTAAACCCTTCAAAATTAATGAGAATTCCTCTACTCTGTGGACGTAGCCAATCTGGGTGAACCACGTACATCTTGTGTTTGCTTTCCTGTCTCTATCCATTTACATACTTATCCACACTAGTGACCGGAGCAATCTAGCGAGGGTCACAAACTTAACATTTTCTATTGTACCAAAGTCCCTACTGATTTTGTGCATCAACAGTTCCAGATGCTACTTAGGTTGTATGCTATTAGAGTTTGTAGTATTATCAAATTGTACAGTGGAGCTGTCAGGCTGTAACCACCCGTACGGTTGAACATCCTGAAGTAACTAATACTTGCATTCGGGTTCAATAGACGATATATCATAAACTCTGGTTTCGATGAACTTAAATCATTTGTTGTAATCATTGCTTGTTCAACCTAAAAGCTAAAACACATATCCCAGTTTCATGCTTTGTTAAAGTATCATGTATCCTGTGTTCCTTTAGATTTTCACTGGCTTTCAGATTATATAAGCATATATTTCTCTTCTTTTTTTCCCATCACAACGGAGCATAATTGCATTTTCATTCTATAACAGGGAGGCAGCTACATGCATTCAAGAGGTTTTTCAATTTATCATGTCTATAAACATCACGGTAAAAGCTTCAATTGTCTATTCATGTTTATTTTTGTCAAGTAATGGTCCTTTCTATTAAATTGCGTATCATTTCGTATTTCAGGAACATGCTGCTATTGCTTTGCAGTATTTCATTGGAGTTCGGGCTGAAACAGCTCTCCATTGTCTTTTGGTATCATCTCTAGCATGTTCCACTGAACTGACTGGTTTATTAAATTATATGCGTGCATCAGCTTATACGCATTAAGTTCTAACTTTCTGTATTCATTCTAGCATTGGATCTGCAGCTATCAAACTCTCTTTACAAAAGTTTGCAGGTACGACCTTCTCACTTTATACCCCTGAAATCTTTACTGGCTTCGTAGTTATTGACGTTACATTTTTTTATGCAGCAAGTGTGGACGGCTGCTAGCAATGGACCAGAAATCAGCTCTACTGTTAGCTCCAGTTTATCGTCCTTACCGGCAATTCAACACATCGAATGTATCATTGAGTTTGAATGTTTCCGGAGCTTACCATGTAGGCTGTTTCTCAGAGGAATTATGATCTTGACTATGACAGGTAAAAACTATCCATTGTCTCAGATATCAAATTGGCAAGATAAAGAAATTATAACACATCATTCAAAGAACTCGCACTAGAATGTTGAATTTTACGTCTTTTCTTAATTTTCTTGATAGCTAATGGGACATGAACTTTTCTTTTATGTTATGTTTGTATTATTTAAGGGAGATGGTTATAATCAAATTATCTGCACCATAATCTAAAATAATTTGCTAGATCATAAGTTTTCAAATTTTTAGTGCTATCCGAGTGCACAAATCATCTTATATATATGCGTTGTTTGCAAACTATGAAATCACTTTAAATGGATTTTGTAGTGATATGCAAACTGTTTCTGGTGATCCCAAAGCAAACATAGAGCGTGACAAATTGGTGATGTAGGAAAAAAAGCGAAGGTAAAACCGTATAAGAGATAAGAGAGAAGGAAAAGGAACTAGAATTGGGAAAGGTTTTTTTTTTTTTTTTTTGGTAAAAGGATAGATTCAAAGAACATAGAGGCACAAGGCCAAACAACACGCAGAGAAACAACTTCCGCAACCCCAGAAGATACAGACACAGATAAATAGGATCAAGAAAGACACCACCTCAACAGGTACCATCGTCGCCCTATTACCAGTGCAACCCATCCCCAATTACAAAGGAGGACAGGGAAGACCATCTTTGTTCAAAATGCCAACTAGCGAAGATGGAGGTTGAACAACCCAGCCAAAGCTGCACATCTCTGGTGAAATATTCCTTGCGACAAAATCCGCCGCCATATTTGTCGATCATGGAATCCACGACCATGAGCATGAATGAAAACTCCTCCCAATATCCAAGATACGGCTAAGAATTGGGAGAAGGTCCGAATTGGGAAAGGTTAGGAAAACTGAAATCAACCTTGTCAATCATTTATTAGAAATATGGCGCATCCTTTAAGCAATTGCAAACAATCTACTCCATAAACTAATTAATACTTTCTCGAAAGTTTAAGTAAATAAAGAGTTAATTCAAATTAGTTAGCAATATTAAATTACATATATCTAATTTCGAGTCACCTATGATGAATATTAATGCTATGGTCACATGCAGTGGACTCGTACTGACAGTTTGTGTTACGTTGAATACTAATGATATGGTCGCATAATGTAATTTACTTTGAGGCTGCCTTATTCTCTTTCATTGGTGTATTTAATCAAGAAAATTATAATAAAAAATATATTGGTCAGAAATTGTACTCACTTTTCTTTCAAACTGAATGTCCAATGCTGCCTTTCTTTCTTTTCCTTGTTATGGTTTGATTGTTTTGTTATCCATACTAATGTCTTATGTTTTCTTGAATATTGTGTTTTCGTAAAATTTTACTAGCATGCCCCGTTCCTTTGGTTCAGGTGCTATTCTCTTTTGTCGGCACAAGTCTAAGTTGTGCTATGGCTAAAATTATTATAACTTATGGCCCGGATCCTCGGACTTGGTGGATTTGGCGGCAGGGATCTGAAGATGATCCCTTTCCCAGGAGCTTTTTCGAGAAGAAAAACAAAATCTTTGTTGTAATTCCATATTAGGTTAAAAGGAAATTTGATGTAGCAGTTGTGGGATTCATTGTTCGGCTCATAGCATGTAAACCTTATACACGGTGGAGTTGCCGGTACTTGCGCTGTTTTATGATCGTTTTGAGTGCAATGCATGAAGCGCCCATGGCTCTAGCGTGATTGCGGTTTGACACTGCGATGAGATTGAATGATTTCTGTTTTTAAGCAGGTAGCATCCGAAAACTGGATAGCAGGGTAAAGGGAATAAGGCTAATGGGCATCCTTAATGCATTGCTAATCAACTTCTCTTTGCCAGTAACCCATGTTTGATGTCATGATAGACTCGTTTAATTGGGTCTATGTAGTCACCGTGTTTAATTGGGTCTAAGTCGTCTTGTGTACCGACAAGTGTAAGTACTTAGCCAAATAACGATTCCCTTAGTAACAGCGGCGGATCCATCAAGAGGTCAACACCGTTAGTTAGTTATCATCAACAAAATACCCGAGCTAGAATCGGTAGGAGCTTTGTCTGCTATCGACAACCGTGCATCATGGCTTTTGTAGATGATTATAACTCATTAAAATGTTCGATCAAATGTCATTAAATATTTTATGTGATATTTCCATTAAAACATTTATGCGTTATTCCCGACAACCAATCCAAGCCTGCCAAGGTGCACAAAAGTTGATTTTTGTGATGTCAAACTTATTAGTTATATTCGTCGTTGAAGCATTGTAAAATTTATATGGCCCAAATTTCGCACGCGCGTGAGCGGCTGAAATGATTAAACCAAATGAGGCATTGCCACCTGTGGAAAATGATAAGAGTGAGCAGGTGTCATGCAGCAACAATCGTGTCAGGAACTCACCTGCGTTGATTGGTCTTATTAGCACCAATCATGCTCACCACGACCCACCTCTTTGGCTCTTTCGGTCGATAATGGCCTCCACAGAGAGGGGCCGACGAGACAATGTGATCATCTTCCTAAATCTTCGGGACTGATTGAATTCCCTAAAGTTAGCAAACTGATTGAATTCCCTAAAGTTTGCAAACTGATTGATTCAAACACATACTAGCAAGAGCGATCTACTTGCATAGAGTACTGCTATTCACACTCATTTTATTTGGGAAGGGGACCTCTTCGGATTTCTTCCATCAAATTCACCAAATCAAGGGATTTGAGTTTTTAAAATTTGATCTAACGGTTAAAGTTATTATAACTATTAAAGAAATTCCCTGTTTGTAACCATTGGATCAAATTTCAAGGGTCCATATCCCTTGATTTGGTGAATTTGATGGGAGGGATCCGGGATCCCTTTCCTTTTATTTGGATAATACTTATGTAATGAGTATTTTTTAAACTCACATTTTGAATTGACCTCATTTTAAAATGTCACATGTTCGTTATTTTTTAAAGTTAAAAAAAAAAAAAAACTAATAACATGTACATTATTTTCTAAACAACAAAATATATGTTAAAATGACATTAGACAAAATCAAAATATGAGAACTTGAGTACCCCGAGTATTATTATTTTTACCTCTAACACACTCTTGTTAATTTTTGTTCACTAATCTTTTTCATTTCATTCGATTCGATTGAAAATTAAGAGAGAAATGTGAGAGGTAAAAATAAGTGTGTATAACACTACCTATTGGGTATACCAATGTGCAATTTCACTTAATAAAAAAATTCTTAAACATTCCAAACATTTTAAAATAAAGGTCAAACGATTAAAATACTCAAAAAAAAAAACCCAATATTCAAGTAGCCAAGAAAGTCCCCCACTTGACGAACGGGAATTGTCTGTCCTCTCCCATCTCATACCCTTCTATTTATGTGGTTACGGTTAAACCACGTCAACATTTTATATTTTTATTGTTTTTTGTCTTATTATTTTTATAAAAAAAATCAATATAAAATATTGACGTGACTTAACCGTGAATCCGTGATTACAAAAATAGAAGAAGATGAAAAAGTTATGAGATGAGGAAGACAGACAATCTAGGTATGCACTTGACATCCCATGAGCAAATCTATAAATTTTCATAAGGGCCCCACAAACATGAACGGCTTGGTAGGCCCCATATGTAGTTACATTGATCCAGGGAGTTAATTTTATGATTGATGAGTTTGTTTTGGCTTTTAATTTTTTTGGGAAGATGAAGTTAATTGGTGTAAGTTAGTCGATGTATGGGGTGTAATACTCTTTTTCTCATGTACGTGCTTCGCGTGTGGCTTTATTGGTACGTATTATTTAATATTACGTGTATTTTAACTATTATCTTTTTAATCTCCGTATCATTCAATGTTACGTAATTTTAAGAAAAATCCAAGTTTTTACTGATCGAGATTTTTTCGAGCAAGATTTTAACAAGGCCACTTTGAGATCCTAATTCGAAAATAAGTTCTCCACTATGAGAAATGTTGATTAAAATTTAGCTGAGCAACTTTCACATCTGACCAAAACATGTAGAATCAAGAACAATCAATTTCCTTCCTTCTTTTTCTTCCCATTTTACTACTAATGACCAATGAGTAGCTATTTTTAGTGGTTTAATAACTTTAATTAAAAGCAGATTCCACTAACCAGATTTTTTTTTTTTTTGGCAAATGATTGCGTTAGCGAGGAGGGATAGCGGTGAGATCAAATCTGCACTATAGTGTATAGGCATTATTACTGTTTGTTACAGGTAGCCTTACTCTGCATTTATTGGTTATCACCCTAAATTGAATTAGATCTTGGACCCCATCTCAGCTGTGTGGATCTATTTCTGAATTCTAAACTCTTATTGCTTCTACCTAACCTTCCCCATCCAAGTTAGATCAAAGCGAAAATGATTTTCGCACACTTATTTTTTCTATCTTCACAATTATTTATTTCCGTCTCTTAATTCTTTTGATATATTCAATTCAAAGACAAAAAATAAGCAAAGTTATAAATCTTAAAAGCGGAATATATCATAGCTTACACTCGAGATCTCTACCGAAATCTCCAACACAAAACCAACAACAGAAAACATATTGACATTCAATTCCCAAGCAGAGAGAACACAACATACTATCTACACCTAACAGAGGATGGAAAAACAACCTCTAGAGAGGAAAATGAAGCGAAACATGAAGGTGACAAAGTACCTCCCTTACCGACCATCAGCGGAAGTAAAAGACTCTGCAAAGCCAGTTGGCCTTGCCGGTATACTCCCCTTGCTGTCTTCCAGGTTCAGATAACTGGAGTCCTTTCCTTCTGCGTCCTGCCAGCCCTTCACCATCTGGTTAAGCGGCAGGCTATAATCAATCCCAGAATACTCCTCGTTCTCATCATCGATAGGTTTCCATTTTTCAACAAGCGGGGACAAAACATTCACGGCATGGCTCATATCCGGTCTTTGGCTGGGTTCCCTTGCAGTGCAGTGCCCGGCGAGTTCTGCAATTATGGCGATGCTCTCAAATGTTTCTTCATTTCTGTCAAGAGTTGGGTCGATAGCAGCCATGAGTTTCTCCTTATTCGATTTTATGTGCCAGAACCATGCAGCCAAGTATTGACTTTCTTCAGGTCTATCCTCATCTAGTGCCATCATTCCAGTTAACAGCTCCATTAACACAACTCCGAAACTGAAGACATCTGCTTTCGTTGTAATTTTTCCCGTCACTGAACCCATCAACAAGTGAGGTGGCGTTAGCAGGATTCGTCACAAGCATCAAAGGAAGATAACAGAAATTAAAAATTTTGAACTTTAAAAATCCTAGCAACGGTATTATCAATCCAAAATCCGAAACATGCTGTGTGCAATGCTGTCAGCTTATAATCGGTTACAAACTTTACTAATTATATGAACATGAAACATTAATATTCAGTAATAGTTTGAAAGGTCCCAGACGGCTTACCAGCATACTCCGGTGCTAAGTACCCGAAAGTCCCGGCAAGCCTGGTCACAACGGATCTTTCACCATCAGGAGCCAGTTTCACCAATCCAAAATCTGAAACTTTTGCTTTAAAATCATCACCCAGTAAGATATTTGATGATTTAAGATCTCTGTGTATGAAGCTTTTGTGAGCTAGATTGTGAAGATAATCCATCCCTCTAGCAACATCCAAGGCAATGTTTAGCCTCCTCTTCCAAGAGAGCGGCTCTAATTCGAAGGTCTTCCAACGGAAAAGATGCCTGCTTAGAGCCCCCTGAGGCATATACTCATAGACAAGAATTCTCTCGTTTCCTTCAACGGAATACCCCAGAAGCGATACCAAATGACGGTGTCTGACCTTTGACAGAACTGCAATTTCGGCCTGGAATTCATCCAAGGCTTTGTTGCTAATCACACCAGCCTCCATTCTTTTTACTGCTATTTTTGTACCGTCATCCAGTTCTCCCTTATAAACCACCCCAAAGCCACCACGGCCTAGCTCATTTTCTGGGGCAAAATTGTTTGTCACGTTTCGAAGAACTTGAACTGATATGATGAGATTCCCCGCTTCAATGACATGGGACTCACCTATTCCACTACTGTTTCTGCTTGCAGAGCTCCCTGTAACGGTAGAAGCGCTTCCATTGGTATTGCTGGCAACAACAACCTTAACCATACTATCCGAATCAGATGCATCTCTCGGGTGAATTACATGGGAAGTTGAATTCTTGAATGCATCTCTTCTCTTCTTACAGTACATAGATAAAGGAATTACAAGCAAAAACGCAATAACAGCAACACTTGCAACCGGAGCTACAAAAGAAACAGTGCTAGACCTTTTCAATGCTTTATGTTGGTTCAGTTGAGAAGTACCATTGACATGAGAACCTGAATCTGTGGATGAGGAAGGGCTATCTTCTGGTGCTGCCCCTGCCGCAGATGGATTACCATTAAACAAACGATTCCCATCAACGGCAACTTTGACAATGCTACTGAATTTCGGCAATGGAGGGGAAATATTGTTCCCACTAAGATCCAACTCAGTCAAGGATTTCAAGCTAGTCCAATTTTCAGGAACTGAACCCCACAAATTGTTGTTCTGAAGCCTAATTTGAACAAGAGATTCTAACTTCGCAACCGAATGACTCAATGTACCATTCAGATTATACTTGGGCAGATTTATAACAGACACCTTCCCATCGTTCCCACAACTCACTCCCAACCACGACCGGCACGGATCATTACCAGACCATTTAGAAACAAGCGTTGAAGGGTAATTCAACCCG